TCTGGACAAGACCGCGTTTTGTGTCCGGCGGCGCAATTAGCACAAGTAGGAGTTTTAATAGTGCAAAACTTTTGTACGTGACCGGATTGTTGACAATTTAAGCAACGAACTACTTTTATATCGTCTTTGAATCTACAAGTGACCCAGTCTATATTAAGTTATTTTGTGTTGGCTAGATGTTTTCGAACTGCTGCGTCTAATTTTAAGCCTATCCATTGACACCCATTTTCTAGTTTAAGACGCTTCTCACTTAATATTAATTTGTCCTTGATATTCTGATGATGTAATGCTGTTAGGAAGGCACGATCTTCCATAGAACTATGTGGTAATTTACAATTCTACGGGTTTTTCTTTGGGTTTTTTTAGTAGAAACCCTACTGATTTAATAGCGTCGACAGACTCCAGTTTCTTAAGCTGCCTTTCGTTAGCTACACGTAACACGACGCCTGCCTTAGCGGTTTTTGTAAAATTAAAAAAAAATGTGTCAAGCACTGCAGAGAGAAGGAAACTCTTTGCCGTGCTGTTGTCCTGCGTAGTTTGCTCCACAGGATGAATAGGGATGGTATACTGTTTCATAATTTTAATTTAAGATAAATTAAAAAGGATAAAGATTTTTTTAAATGAAATAATAAAATATTCGGTCACACCACACACATCAACAGCCTTTACTATTCCACTACTGGACATAGGCCTCTCCTTAGAAACGAGGTTTGGGCCTACTACAGCACGCTGGCCAGACGGTTTGGTATAGGGTTTGTGTCAAGTTTTCCTTCTTTTTGCAGTGCTGGTGTCCTGCGTTGTTTTCCGCCCTTAGTCGGCTCTTACGACACCCACGGGATGAATTGGGGTAGTGACATTCCGTATTCTTAATTCGTCACTACACGGACAGGACGAAAATATTCGGTTATTTGAAACAAATAACTTTTAAAAGTTAACAAAATCTTTAGTTCCTTTAAAACACTATATTTTATACCTGTGTATTATTGGGCTAAGTACGAGTACCTTACTATTACAACTAATTCACAAATATATAAGTGTGCCTATAGGTAAGTTAGTATGTATAGCAAGTCTTCACACTAAAACGAATTAGCTGATTTGGATAACATTTACGACATAAATAATAGAGTTGTGACTTGTGACTCCTGAGTTACAGACGTTCATGGGCGGAGGTAGTCACTTTCCATCAGGTGACCCGTCTGCTCGTTTGCCCCCTTCATAATAAAAAATATGTCAGGAATGTGGTAATTCGATGCAAATATTCATCATCAGCCTATCGCAGTCCACTGCTGGACATAGGCCTCTCCCATTGCACGCCACTTAGATCGATTTTGGGCTTCTCGCATTCAGCTCCTGCCAGCCATCTTGCGCAAATCGTCACTCCACCTGGCCTGTGGGCGTCCTACACTACGTTTGCCGAGACGCGGTCTACACTCAAGAACTCGTTTTCCCCAACGGTTATCGGTTCTGCGGCTAATATGGCCAGCCCACTGCCACTTCAGCTTGCTGATCCGGTACGCTATGTCGGTGACCTTAGTTCTCTGCCGGATCACCTCATTTCTGATGCGATCCCTTAGAGAAACGCCGAGCATAGCCCTTTGCATAGCACGTTGAGCGACTTTCAACTTGTGGACCAGCCGTACCGTAAGTGTCCACGTTTCAGCTCCGTATGTCATGACGGGTAGGACGCACTCATTAAAGACTTTCGTCTTAAGGCACTGTGGGATCGACGATGAGAAGACTCGACGTAGCTTCCCAAACGCTGCCCAACCCAACCGAATTCTTCTGTTCACCTCGTCCTCGAAGTTGTTTCTACCTAACTGCAATGTCTGCCCGAGGTACACATAATTTTGAGCAACTTCGAGAACGGCACCGTGTACCGCAATCGGTTCCGGTAGTACATGTTCGTTGAACATGACCTTGGTTTTATCCAAGTTCATCCGTAGGCCGATGCGTACAGAAGTGTCAGCTAAGTCATTCAGCATTTGCTGTAGGTCCTGCAACGTCTCTGCCATGATGACGATGTCATCTGCAAATCGCAAGTGAGAGATGTATTCGCCATTGATATTGATGCCACGCCCTTTCCAGTGCAGCGTCTTGAACATGTCCTCCATTGCATTTGTGAACAATTTCGGGGAAATAACGTCCCCTTGTCTCACTCCTCGATGCAATGGTACGGGCCTTGTTTGCTGATTCTGTACTTGGACGGACATGGTGGCGGCTTCGTAGAGACATCTCATCACTTGGATGTATCGCCAATCTACTTGGCAACGCTGCAGGGACTCCAGAACAGACCAGATCTCGATCGAGTCAAAGGCTTTCTCATAGTCCACGAATGCTAGACACAGGGGCTGATTATATTCTTCGGTCTTCTGTATAATCTGCCGCATTGTGTGGATGTGGTCTATGGTGCCATATCCGCTCCGAAACCCAGCTTGCTCCGGTGGTTGGAATTCGTCGAGTCTTTGCGCAAGACGGTTCGTGATGACTCTCGAAAACAGCTTGTAGATGTGGCTTAGAAGGGATATGGGTCGATAGTTCTTCAACCTGGTCTTGTCACCCTTTTTGAAGAACAAGACGACCACACTCCTACTCCACGCTTCTGGAGTTCTCCCTTCAAACAGGACAGCGTTGAAGAGCTTTTGGAGCTCCCTTAGTACGGGTTTACCCCCGGCCTTCAGCAGCTCTGTTGTAACGCCATCCTCTCCAGGGGCTTTTCCATTTTTCAGCTGTCCAAGAGCCATCTCGATTTCGTCAATGCTAACTTCTGGCAGGTCTTCGGTGTAGTGACGTGTTAATGTGGCTCTAGAGTCCTCATTTTCGGGATCAGGTCGAGATGCATGCGAAGCGTATAACCGGCCATAGAAGTTTTCCACTTCCAAAAGGACTGCCGGCTTCGAAGCAACGACTTCTCCACTTTCTGTAGTCAACTTTGTCAGGTGGCTTCTTCCAAGAGATTGTACGAACACTTTTGACCCCCGATTTTGCTCGATCGCTCTTTCAATTGAAAGAGTATTGGAGCACCGGAGGTCGTGTCGTACGAGTTTACTGATCTCTCGGTTTAGAGTCCGCTTTGCCGACAAAGTGACAGGTGGGTTTTCACGTCGTTTCTTCATCAGCCCTAGGGTCCTTTCTGAAAGCTTCGACTTCCTGCCCTTACGCTGCATTTCACAAAATCTCATACCTTCTTCCCTGAGGATCTGAACCACATTTTTGAGGTTCTGGTTTACGTCGATTGTGGTTTCCACGGCAGCGAATCGGTTTTCCAGTTTTGACTGGAACGTTTCAGATCCTGTCATGGCTTGGAGCCGAGTTGGTCGGAGCCTGGATTTCATCAAACAGACACGTTCCGCCTTAAAGTTAATATTCAGAGATCCCCGGACAAGTCGGTGATCACTACCGGTATTAAACCTATTGATCACTGAGACGTCTCTGAATATGTGCTTTCTATCCGCCATGATGAAATCGATCTCATTTCTAGTCATAGCGTCGGGGCTTTGCCACGTCCACTTCCTTTGGGGCTGTTTCTTGAAGAAAGAATTCATCAAAAACAGCCCCTCCCGTTCGAGGAAGTTGACCAGCATTTGCCCCCTATGATTCCTGCTTCCAAATCCATGGGATCCTACTACCGATTCGCCGCAATTCTGTACTCCCACTTTAGCGTTGAAGTCACCCATAACAACGTTGTAGTGGGTCTTAGTTGTGAAGTGGAGGGCCCTCGATATGTCATCGTACATATCCTCCACCTCGTCGTCCGAATGTGCCGAGGTCGGTGCGTACACTTGCACAACCTTGAGGCTATACCTCTCGGTGAGCTTGATAATGAGGTACGCTACCCTGTTCGACACACTGGAAATTTCCACAACGTTGTCAGATAGGGACTTATTTACCAGAAACCCAACGCCACCTTGGGATTGTTGGTCTCCCTCGCGGAAGTACATTAGGTGGCCTGACTCGAGGGTTATGGTGTCCTCCCCCTCTCTTCGGACTTCACATAGCCCTAGGATATGCCACCTAATCTTCCCAAGTTCCACCACCACCATGCAAATATTGTTGCGAACGAAAGCATGCTTCTACATATTAAATTTATTTGCGTAATGTAAATTTATAAGTGTGTAATTAAAAGCCTGATATTGTAGTTTAATTAGGGTAAGTGACCCAAATATTGGCACTTGAAGACATGGGTAATAAACAAATGAATGTAGTGTTGTATTTTAAATCTTTATGTCGATGTGTAGTATGTTTTAGTATTTTCAATTATTCTTATTTTAAAATCATAATATGCAAAAGCGAGCCCGTTATATCGGATAAATTAAAAATAGGATTGTATTTTTTTCACTAAACCTACCTAAAACTACCAATTACTGGTACTGTGGCCATTACAATTACTGGCCTTTAATCCAGATTATTGACACATTGGTGCTAATTATTCGCACTTCTAATTTGTTAACTAATTTCCTTAATCTATACTAATATTATAAAGCTGAAGAGTTTGTTTGTTTGTTTGTTTGTTTGAACGCGCTAATCTCAGGAACTACTGGTCCGATTTGAAAAATTCTTTCAGTGTTAGATAGCCCATTTATCGAGGAAGGCTATAGGCTATATATCATCACGCTAAGACTAATAGGAGCAGAGCACCAATGAAGAATGTTTCAAAAACGGAGAAAATTTATTACTATTGAGAGACGCAGACGAAGTTGCGCGGGTCAGCTAGTTTTTAAATAAAACAACACCTGGGTAGTTATTTAAATTATATTTTAATAGGTTGGCAAATAGGTACTTTATACTAGAAACAGTTCTATTGAAAATACCTAATCATTTTCAGAACCTGCGAGCATTTTAAACATTTCTGTTGCTGAGTAAGATTTTCTAACTATCCCACTTGAAGAACGTAGAAGGAACAACATCATAATTCTTATATGTTTCGTTAACAGTTTCGTTTTCATTTTATTCTAGTTCTACTGGTGTTTCGAATTTTTAATAATAAATGTGAAAAGGCAATAATGTTAAAAGGCAATGAAGTTAAAAAGAACAGGAATAAAATATTTGTGAGCGACTGTAAGTTATTTGGCGTCCAGTAATTGGCACCACTAATAGCAAAAACATAACTTTTTATCACTTAAAATCATTACCATTCTATATTTTAAGCATCTTAATAACATTTAAAAAAAAACATCAGATTTCTTATTAAAATAACATGATTAGAAATGTATTATCAATTGACTTTACGAACTTTGACCTTATGAAAACAATAACAAAACCGGTTTCCATAGACCGCGAAATTTTAAAGTGCCACTTTTAAATGAAGAAATAATGAAATGACAGATGCAGTGTTACCAATATAATAATGCATTGTTTCTACTAAAATGTTGTTGTAGTCAACATTATATTGGGGCAAAAGGGCTTATTATAATAGTTAAAATGCATAAGTGCCAATAATTGGATGAATGCCAAGGATTGGATCGATTACCATGTATAGATGTTTTGTTATTCTTAACGTTGACAAACGACAGAAGTCAATGACCTACCAATCTGTTATCCGACCAGATTTAGTATCACACGGTCTTAGCTTGTTTTTAATATTTTTTCTCCTCGACAAAATAAATATTCATTTAGGTATCGATAATCACGTGATATTCCATAGTAGTCTCAAGACATTCACACACACTCATAATATATAAAGGAGGCCTTTTAGCAAATAATATAGTTTGAAGTTAAAGTTGGTAAATACCTACATATGTATACCTACTAGGAGATATCGACAGACCTGTTGGTCTGATGGTTAGTGACCCTGACTGCTAAGCCGAAGGTCGTGGGTTCGATTACCAACCAGGGCATATAATTGTGTGATGAGCATGACTATTTGTTTTATGTCTGAGTGTAATTTATTTGTAATCGTAGAACCGACCGCGAGTGGAGACCGCGTCTAGGCAAACGTAGTGTAGGACGCCCACAGTCCAGGTGGAGTGACGATCTGCGCAAGATGGCTGGCAGGAGCTGGTTGCGAGAAGCCCAGAATCGATCTAAGTGGCGTGCAATAGGAGACCTCTAGTCCAGCAGTGGACTGCGATAGGCTGATGATGATGATGATGTATATTTAGAAATATTTAAGTATTTTATCAGCAGTTTAGTTTTCATAATACAGGGTCTGCCTAGTTTGGGATGTGACAGTACTGTGTGAGATGTGTGATGTTATTATTATTATTAAATATATTAAACGTACTGTACATAGTAGAAAACTATTAACTAAATCTTATCTAAACTTGTTAACCTTAAGAAGGTACCTCAGTTTTCTTGGTATTGGAATAGGCCGACTGTTGATTTGACCGAAATTTAAAAAGCTTAAGTGCTAAAATTATCATTTGACTTAAGTTTTATTGTTTCCATTTATACTCTTTATTTATTGGCAAAAAGAAGTTTAGTATAACTCTGTCAAACTTTTTTTTTTATCTTTTTGAACCCTTTTTTGAATAAATGGCAAATATACAAGGATACTATAGTATCATTGTATATTTGCTATTTATAAATAATGCCATAAATATTCCATACAATATGATTGTAGTATACTATAATCATAATGATTATCATCATCACATCAACAGCCTTCAATAGACCACTGTTGGACATAGGCCTCTCTTTAGAAAAGAGGTTTTGGCCTACTATATACCACGCGGGCCAGACGGGTTGGTATAGGGTTTGCTTCAAGTTTGAGAGGATTCTAGTATACTATTATCATATTGCTTCAAAACTTTTTGTTTATAAGACTAAATAATATTAGTTTAGAATCAATTGATCGACTATTTTAGATAGACTAAAAGACATAACTTGATACCCACACGAAGTCAAACAATATTTTTTTGAATAATTAAATTATTTTCATTAAAACCTGGTTTTTTGTGGGTTATGTTTTTAATTTTATTCCAATTATTTATACCAGTTTTGTGGCTTTCTGGTTCATAGTTATTAGAAACTGACGTCACATATAAACAGTTGCTTAGAGGATAAATCACTCAAAGGTAGCATCAATATCTAAGTAAACCGACTTGGTATTTAACAGTTTATAATAAATTACCAATTGATATTAAAATCGAGACTAAATTCAATACTTTTGTTAATAAATTACAGAGTGTCACCACCTCTATTCATCCCGTGGGTGTCGTAAGATCCGACTAAGGGAAAAGACTACTCATAACAACAGCACTGCAAAGAGAAGGAAAACTTGACACAAACCCTATACCAACCCGTCTGGCCACCGTGGTTTAGTAGGCCAAAACCTCCTTTCTAAGGAGAGCCTTATGCCCAGCAGAGGACTATTATAGGCTGTTGATGTGATGATGATGTGATGTTAATAAATCAAAGCTAATTAGTAAGTGTTTCTACAGCGTAAAAGCGTACTTGGAAGATAAATAAAATGCTCTAAAATAATAAATTATATAATGATTATATTCAGATTAGACTAAATGATAAATATGGTAGGAGGAAATAATAGTGTCCTCTTTTCTTTCTTTTTCTAATAATATATTATATTTATAACATCTAAAATAATTAATCGATTAAATAATAAAAATAATAACTGAATTGAATAAATAATAGACACTATTTTCTTTCTTCAATACACTATTAAATCAATATTAAGATTATGAACAAATGATTATAACTAATAACATAATATTACATGACATACACACTTACCATGATTGTATCCTTGCTATATTAATTACAAACAAAACATTCTACTATATATATGTTTGTGTTATCATTAGGGTCCATAACAGTTGGTGCTTAAATTGTTATCACCTATTTATTTACATTATGGGAACAATAAAGTCTTAAGTATTAAGTATCGAGTCATTAACAAGCCATTAAAAAAGCCTAATTTCCTAAAGAGAACTAGTTTCGTTAAACAAATGCATGTCAAAGACAATATGATAATAGATAGAGAAAAGCACTTATTTAAAAAAAAAGGGCCAAGACGAACATTAACAAAATAATTAAAAGATTCGTCACCTTGGCCGACCTACTGGCGTGACCGGGATAAGTATGTATGCTAATGATTACTATTACGTATCACAAAATCATTTCAATGTTGGTATTCTGTACAATGCGGGCTCCAATATGTTAGCGGTTGGCCTACAATACAGTTCGTATATAAAAGATACCACCGAAATACACGTCCAGTACCGACTCAACTCTTTCACAAGAGGCTTGTGTTCAAATTTCGTGTTTTATTTTTTTAGAACCGGTTATGGGACGTCTGCCGGCGTTAGTCATCGGTGCGGGGCTTCTCGCCGTAGCCTCCTGTGCCCCCCCAGGCAAGCCCAACCTAGGATGGGGGGAGCGCACCTTCGCCATCGTTGAAGTAAACCAAGCAGCCACAGCCTATAACCAATTAGTCACCAAAAAAGATGCAGCTGATGTCTCCGTCACCTGGAACACGTGGTCTGGCGATCCAGCAGACAAAGCAAGGGTTCTGCTAAATGATAAGGAGTTCTGGTCTGGAGCCGGTTCGGCTACTTCAGCTAAGTTTAAAGTGAAAAAAGGTGGTAGATACCAAATGAAGGTGGAACTCTGCAATAAAGATGGATGCAGCTACAGCGATGCTACCGAGATCGTAGTTGCTGATACTGATGGAAGTCATTTACCACCCCTAGCTTTTTCAATTGGAGAGAAGAATAAACGCTTCAAGCAAACCTCGGGAAAGGTGGTCGGAGCTTACTTTGTAGAGTGGGGAGTCTATCCAAGAAAGTTCCCCGTTGATCGTGTCCCTATCCCGAATCTGACTCATCTTCTGTATGGTTTCATCCCAATTTGTGGTGGGGATGGCATCAATGACAGCTTAAAGGAGATCGAAGGCAGTTTCCAAGCATTACAGAGGTCTTGCAGCGGAAGAGAAGACTTCAAAGTAACTATCCACGACCCTTGGGCTGCTCTACAGAAACCACAAAAAGGTTTATCATCCTGGAATGAACCTTACAAGGGTAACTTCGGCCAGCTCATGATGTTGAAGCAGGCGAGACCAGACTTGAAGATCCTTCCCTCAGTAGGTGGTTGGACCTTAGCTGACCCATTCTTTTTCTTCACTGATGACACAAAGAGAGCTCGCTTCGTTGCTTCAGTTAAAGACTTCCTACAAACCTGGAAATTCTTCGACGGTGTTGATATTGATTGGGAATTCCCTGGAGGTAAGGGCGCCAACCCACACCTCGGTGGTCCTGATGATGGTCACGTTTACGTTAAGCTCATGAAAGAGCTTAGACAAATGTTGAACGAGCTCTCAGCTGAAACTGGTAGGAAATACGAACTTACCTCCGCTATCAGCGCCGGTTGGGACAAGATTCAAGTAATAGATTACAATGTCGCTCAGCAATACATGGACCATATTTTCTTGATGAGTTACGACTTTAAGGGTGCGTGGTCGAACGATACCCTCGGTCACCAAACTGCTCTATATGCTCCTGCATGGAAACCTAAAGAAACATACACCACTGATTTTGGTGTCAAATACTTATTGGCCCAAGGAGTTAACCCAAGGAAAATAGTTGTTGGCGTTGCTATGTACGGTCGCGGTTGGACTGGGGTTCATGATTACAAAGACGGCAATCCTTTCACTGGGGTGGCAAATGGGCCATGCAAGGGTACTTGGCAAGACGGCGTAGTAGACTACAGGGAGATCGCAAACGAAATCGCTCAAGGGAAGTGGGAGTACTACTACGACAAGGTTGCGCAGGCGCCGTACGTATTCCGGAAAGAAACTGGTGATCTGATTACTTATGACGATGCAAGATCAACGATCGAAAAAGCGAAGTATGTGAGACAGAATAAGCTTGGTGGTCTGTTCGCATGGGAAGTCGATGCTGATAACGGCGACATATTAAACGCCATGAATATGGGACTAGGTAACAGTGCGTGATAGAACTATCGAGAACAATGTGATCGTAATTATAAGCTAGTTTTTAAATATATTAAAAACAAATATTGAGCGACTGAATTGTGTATTTGTAAGTAAAATTAAAATATTCTAAATACGACTTTGGATGTGTTCATTTTGCACCTTATGAGACTTTTAGTTAAGTGTTAAGATAAATTAAACTTAATAGCATCGAAATTAGTTACAAAATTACAATTATATAGTTTTCTTAGTAAATATTTAAATAGATATTTAAAAGTCATCTAACTAATATTAGTTTTAGTGGATGTTAACTAATTATTAAATGTTCTTCCGCGTATTCCAAGCATTGATTGCTTTGTTATTGTTAAACATACACTATCTGTAAATTATAGGCAAAAGAAAAAACTTCGAACAAAAATTATAGTGAAAAACGAAATATTAAAATAGGTTGTATATAAATAGGGCGTAAACAATGAAGTAGCCTGTAGGTTCGAGTCCCGCTCAGTGCAATTATATTGTCCAATATAATCAAGATTTATACCAAAAGTGAATTTTATCAAAACCACTCCCGTAACATTTGAAGTTGTTGTTCGAGGCTCTTAGCAATCAATCGGTTAATTACTTTTATACTGCCATATTTGGAAACCTGCTGCACGATGGACTGGTGTATTGAGGAAAGTGGCTGACAGCGGATGGATGTGGACTGTCTAAGACCGGGATAGTTGGCGCTGCTTGGGGTAACTTCGTTTAACCAACCAATCATTTAACCTGCTCCTTGGGGAAACCATTTAAATTCTTTATATTCACGTCGTACCAACACGACTCAACCTTTTAGAGCGGAGCAGAGACGATAAATGTATATAGAAATTGAATTTCTTTTTAAATATCAGTTATTCTTTTGCTTTCTGCAAAATTATTTTATTATGCCCATATTTTTTATTTTATTTTATTTACAACTTTATGCACTTATGTACAACGGCGGGCTTAATGCCCAAAGCATTCTCTACCAGCCAACCTTTGGGGGGTGTAGAAATCTGGTGAGGTAGGTGCACTGAGGTTGCAGTCAGAAGCACATATTGAGTCTCAGTCATAAGCACGATATATCGTATAATTTTCAGTTAGAGATTAACATTAGACACAGCAATTATTGTAAGTATCGTATTTTTGTCTCATTAGTTAATTTATGCCTGTTAATATAATATATATCCTAATTTATTTTATAAATGTGGAAGTAAGTTCGTTTGTTTGTTAGCTTTAACGCCTAAACCACTAAAATTCTTTCACCAATGGAAACTACATTTCAGGGAGTAACATAGGCTACTTCTTACTGCGATAATCGACTTGCACACAGGAGGAACCACAGGCAAAAACTAGTTTATATACATATTTATTCAAAAATTCTTCATTAAAATTAAGTACATCGAAGAACATATAGGCAAGACTATGATCATTTAGTAAATGTTTCTTCAAATGAAAGCAATGCTTCGCCACATGTGGGGCGGCTCGACTATAATAAAGATCCACGGTCGCACAGAAAACCGGTTTTAATATATACCTTCATTGTATTTCAATGAGTTAATCAAGTTATTAGAACTAGCTAATGAATTTCCGTGCGTTTAGGCGATTCTGCCATAAATATTATATAAATCAAAAATAGAACCAGTGGGCTATACACTAAGGACCCGTAATAATTTGTGGTCTTGGGGATTCCCTGTTTAGAAGAGTGTATGACTATTTTTACTTCATTTTGTCTCCCACTTCGCTAAGGAGGGACTTTGATTTATTATATTTCCAATTCCTCCAATTTTCTTCTAGTTAATTTCGTTGCGGGAACAGAGTTTGGTCATGTTGGTCTAGTGGTTAGTGACCCTGACTGCTAAACCGGAGGTTGTCGGTTCGATTCTTACCCCAGGACGAATATTGTGTGATGAGCACGGGTTCGAGTGAGCACGGCACGAGTTCTGTGTCTGGGTGTAATTTATTTATAATATGTATGTATTTAAAAATATATAAGTATGTTTATCAGCAGTCTGGTTACCATAGTACAGGCTCTGTCTAGTTTGGGCCGGCCATGTGTGAGATGTGTGATATATATATTATTATTTAAAAAAAAAAGTTCCGGCACTTCCCGAGTGTCATAGCTCGGTATGTTCGTTGGTCACTACTGTTGATTCTGGTGTACATGAGTTAAAGTGGTGGGCGTGTGGGATGGATTAGTCCCATTAAAAAAGCCCAACCTCCCTCTAGCTCTTAATGGGGGGATGCAGGGGCGGCGCTAGTCAATAAACAATAATCATTTATTCATTTGGACAAAAAAATAAATGTCTGCTATGTTATGCCACGTGGCGTACAAATGTAGTAGTTATACTGATAAAAGTGACATAATTTAATATCTAAATTAAAAAGTTATGTTTACGGAATTAAATTTAAAGTAAAAGGAAAGCAGTACCTATCTCTTCAAACAACTTTCAGAATCAACTTGGTTTGATGATTTTTTAAGATTGAATTGTTGTTAACTGATGGAATACCTATATACTTTTTTTTGTAAATACATACATATTAAGTATACATAAAAACCACCCAAACTCCAAAACTAATATTTGCAGATCATACAAATGATGCGTACCATGTGAAATTTAGTCTAATGCATCATTTTGGTTTTCATTTTGCTCAACTGGAGTAGAGTTTCATCTCTTTGGCGTCGACTCTATATTTTTAAATACTTGTATTCGTGAAACAGAATCCCTAATATTTTCAAATCAACTCCGTCACGACGGCGAGTGCTTTTTGCGTTGCGATTGGTGAAGATTTCAATGCGGGCCAACAACAACGGCGAAAGCGGTCACCATGACGATCGGGCCATGAAATAAACTCACACTAGGACCTCAGACTCCAATTCGAAATATTAGGGAGTCTGTTTCAGGAATACAGCTATTTCAAAAATATAGAGTGAAGGTAAAGTCAAGTTACCTACTGTACTCTCTATAAAAAGGCACACAACTGTCAACTTCCCAAACTTAAGCGCCCTTAAGCCAAACAGAGCCCTACCGTGACCCGTCTCCACTTTTCACTTCCACCACAAAAAGAAGCCACAGCCATCAAAAGAGGAAACAATCGCACCAAAAGCAGTAATCGAATCCAAAATCCAACTGCATAGTGGAATGCTCAACCCCTTCGCCACAGAGACTCTCAGAACTTGCCTCAAAATATTTCTAAAGAAATACGTATTATAGATAAATTACACCCAGACACAGAACGAAAAGATCACACACATTTGTCTTCGGTGGGCCAGTCAAAGTTTTGTATTGATTAATAACTCTAAATGTGTTTAGTTTTTGTTTTAGTTTCTTTCGCTATTTGATCTTTCTCGCTGGTATTTTTATCTTTTTTTAAACGACAACTCTGTCATTTATCGTGTGTCGGGGGGAACTTTACAAATATACATGGATACAAAGAACATAACAACAATTTGTGGATCACACAAAGTGTACGTGTAAGTGTACAAAAGTGTCCCATGTGTGTGTCCCACTTTTAACTATCAATATCTCCGAAACATTTTGATCTCACCTAGGGTTGCCTGAAAGAGAAGGTTGTAATGATGATGTACAAATAAAGAGCTATCTATTCTTTTTTTGTTTTACAAACATACATGGAACGGACACAAAGAACACTCAGATTTGTAGATCACACAAAGTGCCGTCCCATGTTTGGATCGAACTCACAACACTCAGCCACTACGCCATCCGTGTAGTCGGTATGGCCTCTACTTACCATAACAGTGGTAACCTCTCCACGACTCTCTATAAGGCTTAGTGTGACTCCTGAGATGCTTCCCCTTAGCCATGTTTTGACACAAATGAGTCGACTTGACCGCAGCAATACTACGGCCTCGCAGGAAACCGGGTGTAAGCCATTTTCCACTGCTTTCCAACGAGTGAGTAAAGTGACAGCTCCCAAGCCCAAACCCCCCTGTCCTCCTAATTTGGGGGGCGGGGGAGGGGGTCTGAAAGGATGTCAACGCAATTATGACTCTTGACTTGTAGATCTATGGGTAGCGGTAGTTGTAGTCAGTTTTAGCCCTCTGTATCATAAAAGCCTCAATTGTGTGCTAGCGCTAATTTAAAATATTAGTTTTTTTTCAATTTAAATTGTAATAAAAAGAAGTGTACGAGTAAATCGGTCAGGAATAATATGCCTTTCTAACAGTGAAAGAATTTTAAAATCGGATAAGTATTACCAGAGATTGAAACCAACATACAAACTCACAAACTTCTCTTTATAATTTTAGTATAGACTAGCTGGTACCTGCGACTTCGTTCGCGTACTGGTGTGGTACACAAGACTTCGGGTTCGATTCCCAGACCGGGCAAAATTTTACAGGGTTTTTCTGAAAGGAAAAATCGCCAAAGTTGCTCTTATGAAGACAGCTCACTGGTAGTAAATAGAATATTATTAAAATCGGTCCAGCCGTTATGAAGATTACTTAGAACAAGCTAGCAGACAGACATACCAAAAATATTTTAACTGGTTTTTAGGCATAGGCATCGTGCAAATAACCGCGTAAGCATGAAAAAAACCTATTATTTTGACATTACAAACAGACACTTCAATTTTATTTATTTGTATAAGAAGACAGAATAAAAAAAAACACATTTGTTCCACGTTCAACAACAAGGCTTGTTATAACGTGTTCCGCTCACTCATACAGTACCATTATGTTTGTGTAATGTGTGGTACATATCAAAGTCGTACCAAGAAAATATTACATGTCACGTCACATATGACACGTTCTACGTTAGAATGTTTGGCTGTGAGTCATATAAGCTTTTACAGGTTTTTTTTTTGTTGGAGTAATTTCGTTTTCAGGTGGGAAGGGCACGGCAGATTTCTGTTTGAATAAGAACCGCCCTGACTAGTAAGTATTAGACCAGTGGGGCTGTCAAATGTTCACAACAAATTAGCACTGTGATTCATGGTGGGAAAGCGACTATTCTTCGTCATATATGGGCCGTGATACCATC